CTAAATCCAACTTTGATTTAATTTTAGCAGCTTGTTTTTTTACTTGTCAAACTTGTAACTTTTTCTTTTCTTCTTTTGCTTTTCTTCTTGTTTCTTGTTGGTTTGTCACAGTGATCTTGACAGATTTCTCAAATTGATCCACTATAGACTTTAGGGCTATTTTGTTGTGCTGTTTTTGTCAGCCTTTTCTTTATTCTTGAAGTCTTTTACTCCAACCTGATTCTAGCTTTGACTTTAATTCAGCAACTTGTTTTTCCCTTTCTTTTATTAGTCTTCGAATTCCATCAGCTACTCTTAATTCTATTATGTAGCAATCTATTTCTGTCATTATAATACTATTAACTGGGTTACTTCCTTCTTGTATTGTTTCGTGAAAAACCTTGTGTTCTCTTTCTACAAGTTCAAGTTCTGTATACTCTAATCTTCTTATGTTATAATACTATAATTCTTTATAAAACTCTACTATTCGCTTCTCGATTTCTTCTTTTGGAAAAAGTTCTTGCCCAATGTATTCTGCCATTATTTCTTCTACTCGTGTGTTTATTTCCTCATCAGTTATTGATAATTTAAAGTTCTGGATATCTGTTACTGCCGCTTTCATGCTTTTTGGTATATTAGAGTAGATGTGCTCTTCTTTGTATATTTCTATATTCTCTAAAAGTTCTTTTTCGCTCAGTATTACTGCTTCTGTTGTGATAGGTTGTTTCCAGAACATTTTGCTATTTTTTTGTTTCACGTAACTTGTCATTTCTCGACTACTAATGTTTGTTGGTGTTTGTTGCGATTGTTTACCATTTTTGTTTACTTTCATCACGTGGTCTTTGTCATGTTTCTTTTGTTTATTTTTCATTACATGTTGTGATTCTTGTATTACCAAAACAGATCTGCAATTCAGGGTCTAGGCCGAATTCCCCAAAGTTCGAAAAGTGCAAAAAAATATCGATGATTTTTAACGACTTCTTCTATTTCTTTGCTGCTTCTACTTTTCTTACTCAAGTCTCTTAAAAGATTGAGTGTTTTTTGTTGTTCTCTTTCTCTTTACTTAGGGCCTTGAGCTTAGTTTCCTAGTGAGTTTTTGTGTGTTCTTGTAGTTTTAGTTAAAATTCTGTTTTTGGATTTTGTGTTTTGATGATTAGCAGAAAGAGTTAAATACAATTGAATTCTTTTTGTTTTTTTTTATTTTTTTTATTCTTTTTTTTTAAATAGTTTAATACTTTTTTAGTTCTATTTCAATAATTATAAATTGAAAAACATGTGAGAATATTGTAAAAAATAGGCAATAAGAATAATAAATTATCAAAAAAAATAAAACAATATAATAGTGACAAGATAAAAAATATTATATCTTCAGAATAGCTTGAAATTTAAAATATAAAATATGTTTTGGTTATTTATGATAAAGTTTACTTTATGCTAATAATAATAATTCATTCTTTTAAGTAGAAGATCAAAAGTTTATTATCAACCAAAAAAAAAACAGGTTTAGCAATTATAGTTAGTAACTTCTTGTGTGTATATTATGGTTCTCTATACTTTATAAAGGCTAATACTATATAACTTGAAATAGACTAAGAGGCTTCTGCCTAAAAAATTTTTTAAAAAATCTTTTATACAAATAAATAAAATAAAAACAAACCCTCATTTTAAAAAAAATAAATAAATAAAATTAATTGTTATTACGTATAAACTTTTTTTTTTTTAATAATGCGTCAGGTGTCAGTTGTATAATGACATTTGACCAGAATTAACAGATTATTGACCCTAACTCTAACTCAGGCCGACATCTAACGCAAGTACGTACGTATTAATCACTCACGGTAATACACTAGATGGCATGGGTATAAACGAAAAGAAAATTCCGCTTATAAACTTAGAACTAATTTATACCCGCGATCTTGGATATAGTGACCAGAGATATACACTTTCTATAGATTTTGCAAAATATTTAAATCATTTCAGGGCGATATTGTGTGTGGTAAGTTTGAAAAACTCGAATTTTTTACCACTAAAAACTAGTGTTTGTAGTCGATCCAATTTTATCGACTAGACTAAGTCAATATTTAAAAATCGGCTTAGCCGGCTAAGTTGTAGTCGATCATCCTAATTGGTTAATTAAAGCACGTGATTTAAAATAGATATGATTGGTCAACTTTATTGAATCTGGTACATACATACGTACGTACGTACCAGTTTGTAGTCGATCATTATTTATCGACTTGATTAAGTCGATATTTAAAACTCGGCTTTGCCAGCTAAGTCGAAGTCGATCATCTTATCTTAAACTTTTGGAAATTATCGGATAGTATCCTCGTATTTTATGTTCGTTGAATTTCTTTTCGGAATTTTCGGGAAGGATAATGTAAACTACCAAATCGGGCTAAATTTGATTGGTTACTGTAATTTTCAATATCGTCTAACATAAATCGACTAAGTCGATTTTTTGAAAAATCGGCTGACTAAGCCGGCTAAGCCGATAAAATCGACTAATGCAAAATCGACTACAAACACTACTAAAAACCAGTAGTAGTGAGACAACACATGTAATACCATATTAATAGATTTATAACATATTTATATCGTCAGAAATAAGAAAATACAAATAAGAAAAATTTTTGTGGAATCTATCGGATATATAAATTTTAGCATTGAAAAGGACTTAATAGTTGCCATTTCAAATAATGATAACCAGATTTTCACTGTAAAGGAAAGAACCTAGGAAGTGGAATAAAGCAAAGCAACGAAGACTGATAGAGACGAATAAAGCAAATACGATGTTAAAAATAAGAAACTTAATTGATCATTTGGTACATGAAAGAATATAAGTATATTAGAAAGCAACATTGTTTAGTTACACAAATATGCTTCAAAAGATTATGTTCAATCGTCTTTCATATCCCTACAAATTAGATACAAAAAAAAAAAACAAAAAAATATATATATAGATATTAGCCATTTTGTCTTAAGAAATTCTCAAGAAGTTTCAATAAGATTTACTTGTCATCATCGTGGGCACGCTCTCGTTCACCACTTCTGGATCGGCTTCTTTTAGGACTGCGGGAATCCTCACGTCCGCGGCGAGGCGAAGGAGAGCGAGAGCTATGATCTTTGCCATTAGGAGGTGGGGTCTTGGACCTTGAGCGAGAACGGCGAGAGCTTCGACGTGGAGAGCGTGAAGGAGATCGGCGAGAACTACGACGGGGAGATCTGGAACGAGATCTTGAGCGGCGACGACGATCACGGTCACGATCACGATCAGTGTCGTTATCCTATGTTGAATAAAATAATTAATTTTACCGAAATTTAAGTTTAAATAAACTTTGAAGTTTATATTT